CTCAGCCTCCCGAGTGCTGGGATTACAGGCGTGTACCACCACACACGGCTCTGGGCCTGTTTTTAAAATTTAAAATTTAAAGTTTTTATTTTTGAGGGTTTTGAAAGAAAGGTGCGAGGAGGGATCCCAGGAGATGGGGGCGGTAGGCCGCCGGGGGTGCAGAGTGTTGGCTCCAGGAGGCGCGGGGTGAGGAGCCTGCGGGGTGTAAGATGCTAGGGGCCTGTGGAGAGGCAGACAGCAGGGAGACTGGGTCTAAGGAGAATGAGAGAAAAGGTTCCCGGCGCCTGCCGCCATTCAAGACTGAAAGTAGCACAGAGTCGTGGGCGCGGTGGGGCACACCAGCGCACAGGAGGCTGAGGCGGGATTGCCAGGAGTTGCTGCTGGACTACGCGGTGAGTTCAAGGCCAGCCTGCCCTACATAGTGAGACCCTGTCTCAGAAAAGAAGCAGGGACGGATCCTGGTGAGGCCCAGCCCCGTCTTACCTGGGAGGTGGCTGAAGCCTAGGGTTTGGTCGCTGGTGTCCCGGGAGGATGGTCTGCATGAGGTCCCGAGTTCAAGTCCAGGCACCAAAATAAGTAAATAAATAAATAAATAAATAGGTCCTGATGGGAGCCGTCCCTCCCTGCTCCCTGGGCTCAGCGATCCTCCTGCCTCTGCCTCCTGAGTGCTTGGGTAACAGGGGTGCGCCACCACGCCCTGCTTGAAAGCAGGCATAGGGTCGAGGGCGAGGGGTGCTGTGCTCCACCCAGGGCGGGGGGCGGGGTGGAATGCGTCCAGCCGGCTCGGTTTGGCCACAGACACTGATGTCTGTGACCTGATCTCCCCACGTCCTGTGTTGAGGGGGGACCTGGCCACCGCTATGCTGGACCCACAGCCTCCAGGAAGGTGAGGCCCACAGACTCACGCCTTACGGCCAGCCTACCTGGCCGGGTGCCACCCACACAGCAACCCCAGCACCTGGGAGGCTGAGGCAGGCAGACCCCAAGTTTGACCTTGCTGTGGGCGGCTTAGCAAGGCTCTGTCGGAAAATAACATTTACAGAAGCCTGGGGAGGAGCTGGGGTGTGCAGAGCCGGGCAGGCAAGTTTGAGGTGCGGGGTGCAATCCCTGGCACTGAGAAAAGAAAAAGTTAACCACGAGAAACAGACCAGAGTAGTGGGAAAGTGTCGATTTATTAACTTGCAAAAGGTCAGCTCGGAAACCCGTGCATTTTATCCCACAGTCCTCAGATGGCTTGGAGGACAACGAGCATGTTGTCTCAGTGTTCAGTCAGAAAAAACCAAGTAGCCGGGCGTGGTGCTGCGCACCTGTAACCCCAGCACTCAGCGGGTGGCTGAGACAGGAGGATCCCCTTGGGTTACAGGCGAACCCAAACTACACAGCGAGACCCTGCCTCAGAAGTTCTGGGCTGTGGAATCGGTGGTTTGGTGCGTCTTCCTCCTGTCCTCACGGTTCACCCGCGCCGCTGTCCAGCGGGGCCTCTGCGGCAGGACAGTCCCCTGTGTGGGCCTGGAGAGGTCCCTGGCCCCCGCTTGGCTGCGTAGCTTCTCTGTGTCCGTGGGGTGCCAGAGAGGGCAGAGCTGGGGCTGGCGCGCCATGTGCCCCCGGGACGGGGTGCATGCAGTACACCAGGGGGTCCTGGCAGCAGCCGAAGTGCACGAGCTTGTGGCCCCCGGGGTGCAGGTGGTCCGGGCAGATGGTGAGCTGGTAGGAGGGCAGCGCGTGGCCCGTGTAGACCAGGGCCACGGGGTAGGCGTCGGGCGGGGACCGCCGCTCGGTGGCCTTGGCCTTGGCTTCCGTCTCGGCCTCCCTCTCTGTCTCGGTCTGGGTCTCCGTCTCCACCTTGGTGAGCTTGCCCAGCGGCGGCAGCGGCGGCGGCTTCTTCAGGATGTGGTGAGCGTGATTATTTGCTTTCTTCAGCTTTGCTCTCTGGTTCTTGAACCAAACCTGAGCATAGAGAGGGCAGCGGGGTTGACCAGTGGGGCACAGAAAGACTTTTGTTACTGGGTGTGGCAGTGCACACCTGTCATCCCAGCACCTGGGAGGCTGAGGCAGGAGGGAGTCGGGGAAGTTTGAGGCCAGCCTGGGCTGCACCAGGGGACCCTGCCACAGAAAACAAAAATGCTTCTGTTCTGCTCAGTGACATCGAGTTTGCAGGGCCGTCTAGCCTGCTTCTGGGCAGGACTTCTGTGCCCCCTGAGAGGGGGACCAAGGGCAGCAGCAGGGTGTGGTGGCGCACACTTGTGATCCCGGCACTCAGGAGGCTGAGGCAGGAGGATCCTTGTGAGTTCGAGACCAGTCTGGGCTACAAAGTGAGCTCAAGGCCAGCGTGAGCTGCATAGTGAGACCCTGTCTCAAAAAGTCCAAAAAAAAAGAAAGAAAAAACTTTCTCAGGAGCACTTGGTGTTGAATCAAGGCCTTCACATGGAGCTATCCACTCAGTCCTTTTTATTTTTAGGCAGGGTTTGGCTAAGTCATGCAATTGCCCAGGCTGGGCTTGAACTTGTGCTCCTTCTGACTCAGCCTCCTAGAGTGTTGGGGTGACAGGGGTGCAGGAGCACATCCCATGTCTGGCCTATTTTTTTTTTCCTGGTACTGGGGATTAAACTCAGTACCTTGTGCGTGTTGGGTGACGTTCTCCCCTCTGAGCCATAGGTGCCCAGCCCAGTAAAGGTTTTTCTCTGAGACAGGGTCTCCTATGTCACCCAGTGCTGGGTGTGGTGGTATATGCCTGTAATCCCAGCACTCCGGAGGCTGAGGCAGGAGGATCGTTGCAAGTTCGAGACCAGCCTGAGCTACAAAGTGAGCTCAAGGCCAGCCTGAACTGCATAGCGAGACTGTGTCTCAAAAAGACCCAAAAAACCACAAAAAACCTATGTTACCCAAGGTGGCTTCAAACTCATGACCCATCATCCTGCCTCAGCCTCCCAGTGTTGTTGGAATTACAGGCATTGATGGAATCACAGGGGTGCACCACCAGGTCAGGGTGGTATTTTTTGTTTTGTTTTGATTTTTTTTTTTTTTTTTTTTTACCGAGAATCGAGCTCAGAACCTCACACTTGCCAGGCAGTTACGGTGCCACTGAGCTATATCCCTGGCCCATTGGGTTTTTTTTTTGGTGCCGGGAATTGAACTCACAGCCTCACACTTGCCAGGCAGGGGCTTTGCTGCTGAGCTAAATCCCCAGCCATCGTTTGGTTTTTGAGATATGGTGAAGCTGTGTAGCCCAGGCTGGCCTCTAACTCCTGGTGATCCTTCTGCCTTATCCTCCCGAGAGCTGCCACCCCACCAGGCATTAGGCTAATTTTGCATGTAAATGTAAAGACGAAAGGTGGTAGGAGTGCGCATCCTGCCCGCCCCGCCCTGCGGTCCCACCTGCAGCACGGTTGGGTGCATATTCATCCTGCAGGCCAGCTGCTTCTTCAGGCTGGGGTCTGGGTACGGGTTCTTTCTGAACAGGTGTTTCAGGTACTCCAGCTGCTGCTCCGTGAACACGGTGCGCCGCCTCTGCTGGTGCCTGTGCTGGTGCCTCTGCAGCCGGCCTGGAGGGGGACAGGGACCCCAGATGCTGCCGGTGCCGTGCCCACCCTCCTCCGCAGCCTGAGCCTAAGCCTGGCTTTTTTCAGTGTAGTTTTTTTTTTTCTTTTTTGGTATTTTTTTGGGGGGACAGGGTCTTCCTATGCAGTTCAGGCTGGCGGTGAGCTCCCTTTGTAGCCCAGACTGGTCTCGAACTCACAAGGATCCTCCTGCCTCAGCCTCCCGAGTGCTGAGATTACAGGTGTGCACCACCACACCCAGCTGTCGTTGTAGGTTTTTGAGACAGGGTCTCAGTATGTAGAGCCCAGGTTGTCCCTGAATGCAGGGTGATCCTCCTGCCTCAGCCTCCAGTACTGGGATCAGTGTGTACCACCATGCCTGGGCGCATTTCGTTTTTTTTTTTTTTTTTTTTGGTTTTTCTCTGGTACCGGGAACCGAACTCACGACCTTGTGCTTGCCAGGCAGGCGCTTTGCCGCTGAGCTAAATCCCCAGCCCCTGGGCGCATTTCCTTTCTGTGTCTCTTCCCTTTTTTCAGAGTTGGGCATGGAGCCCAGGCCCTTATGGGTGCTGAGCCCCGTGCAGTCCATCGTACATTAGCTGCCCCCACACAGACGCTGGGACCCCGAAGCGCCCACTGCCTGACATTTCGGAGTAAGCTGTGCTACATTTGTTCCACCAGGGTGAACACCTAGAAACCCGCAGAGCCACGGGGTGTGGTGGCACATGCCTGTCATCCCAGCACTTGGGAGGCTGAGGCAGGAGGATTGCTGTGCATTCCAGGGCAGCCTGGGCTGTATAGTGAGACCCTGTCTCGAAAATCCAAATAAAAGGAGCAAATTGCATGAAACATTTTCAGACGTTGGACAGAGCATAGGCAGGGCTGTGATCCCGAGATAACGGGAGCTAACAGAAACAGCGAAATAACTTGATCTGTTGTAGCTTTAGGACTTACCACACCCATTGACAGCAGAGATGACACACTCCTCCTCCTCAAGTGTGGAGCAGTCCTCAGGACATATGTGTTCTGCTGCAGATCAAATCACAGAAAGTTAAAAGTGGTGAGGACCAAGGCGCTGGGCTCTAAGCCCAGCAGTCTGGGAGGCTGAGACAGGAGGATCAAAAGTTCGAGCCCACCCGGCGCAACTTGGTGAGATCCCGTATTAAAAATAAAAAGGGCTGAGCTGGGGCTAGGGATGTAGCTCGGTGCTGAAAGCCCTGCGTCCAAACTCAGGGCCCCAGGCTGGCGTTCACCTTTACCCTGAGCGCACACAGGGAGGGTTTTCGTCTCTGAGCAGTGTCTCTGTGGCAGTCAATCTCAGTTAGAAAGGGAGCGCAGGAAGCGAGGAGTTCAGGGCCCCGGGGCCCCGAAACACCCTGAGCACGGTGGGCCCGGTCCCTGGGGGCGGCGCAACCCGAGGGTGAGGATGACACTGGTTCTCTGCCGGACCTGGCCGGACAGCCCCAGCTGAGCCCAGTCCTCTCCGCCCCTCAGCTGAACCCGCTTGCTTTTATTTTGAACCAGGAATGGATTGAATCCAGGCCTTGCCCTCGGAGCTACACCTCCAGCCACTTTTACTTTGAAAGGAGGGGGGCTCACCATGTCACTAGGTAGCCCAGGCTGGGCTCCAAATTTGGGATCCTCCTGCCTCTGCCTCCCGGAGTGCTGCGATGACAGGCGTGTGAGCCTGGCCTGAACCCCGCTCCTGTATGCGTCTGCACCCCGGCCTCTCTCCTCTCTGGCTCACCTTCAGAAAGGGCCTCCATCTTCAGGCCGGGCTGTGGCCTGCGCTCCGCTCCAACGAAGGGAGGAAGCAGCACAGCTTTGGGTTTTAAGTAGACCTGGCCGCCTGGCCTCACCCTTTGCTCCGCCTCCTCCATCCCCTAATCTGATCCCGGGATTATTCCAGCCCTGGGTTGCTTGGATCACATACAGCTGCCCCTGGATCTAAGGCGGGCTGCGTCCTGCGGATCCTAGCGGAAGTGGAGGGCGTCGCCGGGCAGGACCGCGGTGACCACGCTGCCCTCCCGATCATCAAGGCTTAACCCTGCGCGCCCTTATGGTTCCCTTTTCCACGTTACTGGGGATCGCACCCAGCACCTTGCACCTGCTGGGCAGGCACCCTACCATTGAGCTGCGTCCCCAGCCACTTCCACTTTCTTACTTTTTTTCTTTCTTTATTTTTGAGAACTCTCAGTTCAGGCAGGCCTTAAACTCTCACCGTGTCGCCTAAGCTGGCCTTGAACTTGCAGTGATCCTCCTGCCTCAGCCTCCTGAGTACTGGGACGGTAGCCACCCCGCCCTCATCCAGCCTGAATACCACATTGCTCTACAGCGGGGCAAGCTCATCCGACACAGACCTTTGCTTTTACGGTAACAGTAAGATCACCAGGGTAACTGGGAGCACCCCGGCTGGGTTTGAGTCCCATTTCTGCTGTGTGTGTGCGATGTCCTCAAAGCATAGCTATTGTGAGCTGGGAGCTTCGGTGTTTACTGAGCTTAGTACTCAGTACTAAGCACTTAGTACCCAGTGCTTAGCACTCAGTACTCAACACTTAGTATTCAGTGCTTAGTAGTCAGTACTAAGTACTTAGTACTCAAAGTGCGGTACTTAGCCCGCCCCCCTAGGGAGCTTGGGAAAATGCAGACACTCTTGCCTGGCGTGGTGGTGCACACCTGTGGTCCCCGCCCAGGAGGCTGAGGCGGCAGGCTCTGGAGTTCAAGCAGGGCTCTGCAATGACAGACCTTGTCTGAAAAACAAGACACAGATGGAAGCCGCCGTGGCAAAATCTCTGCTCCCTCCAGGTCAGCTGAGTCCGAATCTGGATTGCAACAAGAGGCTGTGTGATGGAGTGCACCATCAGGACAGAGAAGCCTGGCTGGGCGTGGGGGCACCCGGGAGGCTGAGACAGGAAGGTGCACAGCAGGCTGGAGTGTAGCCCAACAAGAGAGTGCTTGTCCAGCAGTGTGGGGTCTGGGTCCGCCCTCAGCACTGCAGGCACAAAAAGAGGCCCGGACGTCCCTGGCGGACCAGGGCTTCGCACACGCCGGGAGAGCACTTTGCAGATTCGAGCCCCGCTGCTTCCCGGGGGAGATGCGGGTGGGAGCTGCGTGCTGGGGCTGTCGCTGGCGAGCTCGAGGTCCTCAGAGGACTTCAGCGGCCCGTGCATCCCGGATGTCCGTGCGCCCGTTGGCCCTGCTGGACTTGACGCACCGCTCAGCATCCGGCCGCACAGGGCCGCCGCGGAGCTCAGCGGCCTCCGCCTCCTCCGCGTCCAGCCAGCCCGAGAGCCCGCGGGTGCGGCCCGTGGGAGCGACGGTCGCTGCAGGACAGCGGCCCCGAGGATGCCGTTGTTGTCTTACTTTGCACACCAGGAGAGCTCTCTACCAGGGCCGCAGCCCGGCGCGGTTGTATTTCTGTTCTGTTGAGACAGGGTCTCGCCGAGTTGCGTGGGTGGAGTTGCGGATCGCAGCCGTGAGCTGCCGCGCTGCTGTCCAGGCGTCGCTGGCCGGGAAGCAGCCCACGCAGCGCCGAGTTCTTCAGCTCTGCACCCTCCCCACCCGCCGCCCTGTCTCCCACCGCTGTCCCCTCGGGAGGTGCTGAAGGTGCGCGGCCCCGGGGGACGGGAGCCTCCCCGCGAGGGGATGAGCACAGCCTCGTCTGCCAGTGCGAGCTGTTTCTTCTGGATTTTATTTTTGTGCAGCTGAAGATCAAACTCAGGGCCTCACTCGTGCCGGGCGACACTACCACCGAGCTGCTTCCCAGCCCTGCTTACCATTTTGACACGGGCTCTCCCTGAATTGCTAAGTTGCCCAGGCTGACCTTGAACTCGAAATCCTACTGCCTCAGCCTCCCGAGGAGCCGGGGTTACAGGTTGTGCACCGCTCTGCTTGGCTTCGTGTCTTCCTGAGTTGGCCATTAGGGTCTGAGACCACTGCTTTGTAGTTCATCCTTGAACTCACTTTGGAGGCCCGGCTGGCCTTGAACTCCTGGCAGTCCTCCTGCCTCAGCCTCCCGAGTGTTACAGGGATTACAGGCGTGCGCCACCACACCCAGCTGAGGCATTTGGAGGAGCCCTCACCTCGCAGCAGGGAATGAAGCTGTGTGGCAGAGCCCATTCCTGTGGCCGCTGAGAGCCGTCCCTGCCGGAGAGCTGCTGGCCGCTGTGTCCCTGGGAAGGCGTCCCAGGAGGGAGGCTGGCCATTTTACCATGGTGTGAGTCTCTAATCCTATTGAGGCCCTGAAAAGCTTCAGAATGCAAATTCTTCTGCAGGGGGAGGTGCACACACCTGTAATTGCAGGACTCAGGAGGCTGAGGCAGGAGGATTACCATGTGTTCAAGGCCAACCTGGACTACAAAGTGAGCTCAAGGCCAACCTGAACTGCATAGCGAGACCCTGTCTCAAAAGACAAAAAAAGCCAGGCGTGGTGGCACACTCCTGTAATCCCAGCACTCGGGAGGCTGAGGCAGGAGGATCATTTCGAGATGGAGATCAGCCTGGGCTAAAAAGTGAGCTCAAGGCCAGGCTGAACTGCATAGTGAGACCCTGTCTCAAAAAAGACAAACAAACAAACAAACAAAAAAAAAGTGAAAAACAAAACCAAGTAGTACATCCAAATATCAAACTGCTGAGTAACTAGACAGAGACACTAATTAAAAGAGAATCAATTTTACCTGATGTAGCACAGGCCCCCGAAATGCTTGTTGACAGATT